GCTAAGGGACGCCAGTCCTGAAATGAACCTTGTGAAGCAGTTTTTCAAGTAGGATTTAGGCGGCTATCATGAAGCAGGGGTGGGGCCACCTGCAGTTAGTCCTGGAAAGGAAAGAGCCCAGACTCTCATTTTGCAGATGGGGAAACCGAGGCTTGCAGAATGGAAATGATGTCCCAATGAGAGCCAAGACCAGATGCCCAGCTGGGGGTCCCCAGCTTCTGACCTGGTGCTGGTCCTGCCGAAGTTAAAGCTGCTGAGTGTAGTCACAGGGCCAAATGCTTCAAAGTCTACACATGGGGGGCCACGATGTGAGGCAAAAAGGTGTGTTCGCGGTAGCTGAGTTTGGGCGTAATTCTTGTGCCCCGAAGGCTTCTCCCACAGCTACTTCCCTTGTCAGGAGTCCATCTTCAGGCCCCTGTGTTATGATGGATTGAGGGAGCGCCAACAGGGACCGCCCCACTCTGTAATTAATTCCTTTTGCAAAGGGCTGGGCTGCAGGCCTGGGTAGGTCCTATGGCCACCTGAGCCAAAGTCTTGGAGAGGTGGTCTCAGGGACCGGGTGAGCATGGACCCAGCCCAGTGCCCACACCCTGGAGGGTGCTGTGCTGCCCAGAGGTTCTGGGCACGGCTCTGGGCCCTGGAATTCAGAGGGTCGGGACTGCTTGCCTCCCCAGGGAGCTCTTACCTTGGGGACCCTGTTGTGGGGGACCTGCCATGACAGTGATTTTGCTCCTTCTGCGGGGTGATGTGGATGCAGGGCCTCTGTGTCTCACATGATTGTTTCACACCAGCCACCCTATCCAAAGACAGAGAGAAGCAGCAGGAGAGATTCCCCTGTGATGGCTCCCCCATGGTCCTGGGCTGTTGGTGGGACCCAGGTTTGGGGGACTTTCTCTCCCCAAAGTCAGGCCCTCGATCCCTTTGCCTTTGGGGACTCTGTGTCCCCAGCCTATACATGGGGTGCTCGATTGAGTGTCCGTGCCCATCAGCCGGCCCTGGGTTGCTGTGGCTCGGGTATGTTTGCCACAGGGCTAGAGATGGAGTGGAGCCCTGCGTCCTTTTATTACTTACTTACTTAATTAATTAATTTATTTTTGAGATGGAGTCTTGCTCTGTTACCCAGCCTGGAGTGGGTAACCTCTGCCTCCCAGGTCAAGCAATTAATTCTGCTGCCTCAGCCTCCCAAGTAGCTGGGATTTCAGGCACACACCACCACGCCTGGCTAATTTTTTTTGTATTTTTAGTAGAGACAGGGTTTGGCATGTTGGTTAGGCTGGTCTTGAACTCCTGAGCTCAGGTGACCTGCCCGTCTCGGCCTCCCAAAGTGCTGGGATTACAGGTGTGAGCCATGGCGCCTGGCCTTCTACATACTTTGAAAAGTTCTGAAACATTCCCAGGTGGGAAAGGAAGGAGCGTTTGGGTGGACACTGAACCTGTCGGGGGGCGCAGGTTTTGCAGTGGTAGCAAACAACCTGAAGATCTCTGAGGCTTCAAACACCGACTTCAAACCTCCCACTCACACTGCAAATGTGTCTGTCACAGGCTGGCTTCGGTGCGATCTCACTGCAGAGGGAATGGTATCACAGCAGACCACGCGCTGGCTCTCAAAACTTCAGCCTGGAAGTAACATGCCTCACTTGTCTGTTCATTGGCAGAAGCAACAAGCCGCTGGCCACTCTGGGTCCTGAAAGGCCAAGGGAGAGGACTCCCCTGGGAGAGAACCTGGAATATTCAAGGAACGCCCTTTGTGTCAGCATTTGACTTCATCCCACCGAGTCCTCCCGTACCCACTGTGCCCCATGAGTTATAACCCCAGGAAATACAGCGAGAACGCGTGTCCTGATGACACAGCAGAACTCACGCGGGACCCGCATTCCCGGGCACTTCTGTTGCTGCCAAGCCTCCCGTGGCTTCTGTGTGTCTCAGGGTGTGCAGAGACAATTTAGCCCCTGTCTGCCCTGCCTCTAGTGCACATTATCCATGGGCTGTGACATTTCCATGGGCTGTGAATGTGTGTGACATTTCCTCAGTGGCCGCACTTTTTCTCTGGATCCTATTTTAGTGAAGTTCAGTAAGGACCTGAGAGCTGCCTGAGCGGGTAGCATGTGCTGGAAAGCCATGGGAGGCGTTTGGCCCGCGAGGGCGGGGCTGCCGGGCGGGTGCTGGTGAAATCAGCGTGGCAGGAGGAGGGCTGTTTTCTCCCTTGGCCTTCAGTATCATTTTTCATTATTTAATCACTGCTTCTTTTCATACTGGAAAACTGTAGTTTCCTGGGAAACCAGCCAGGCAGTGATGACAACTCGTTTTTCCCTCTTTATTTTTATGTGATTCTCAGTTTCTGGTTAATGATGTGCTTCCGGGAAGCAAGATTTGAGCACGAGCACAGAGACCCTTGTAAGCGCTTTCTGACTGCACAGATCAGCCATTATTTTTTCCTGGCATTTTATAAACCCTCGTGTTTAGAGAGGTCGGAAAATACTGCTTTCTTTTTTTTCTTTTTTTTTTTTTTTTTTGAGACGGAGTCTCGCTCTGTAGCCCAGGCTGGAGTGCAGTGGCCGGATCTCAGCTCACTGCAAGCTCCGCCTCCCGGGTTTACGCCATTCTCCTGCCTCAGCCTCCCGAGTAGCTGGGACTACAGGCGCCCGCCACCTCACCCGGCTAGTTTTTTGTATTTTTTAGTAGAGACGGGGTTTCACCGGGTTAGCCAGGATGGTCTCGATCTCCTGACCTCGTGATCCGCCCATCTTGGCCTCCCAAAGTGCTGGGATTACAGGCTTGAGAATACTGCTTTCTTGCTTGCCTTTTTTTTTTTTTCTGACAGTCTTACCCTGTCACCAGGCTGGAATATAATGGCGCAATCTCGGCTCACTGCAACCTCCACCTCCTGGGTTCAAGTGATTCCCCTGCCTCAGCCTCTGGGACTACAGGCGTATGCCACCACTAATTTTTTTTTTCAGTAGAGATGGGGTTTTGCCATGTTGGTCAGGCTTGTCTCCAACTAATTTTTTTTTTTTTTGTATTCTAGTAGAGATGGGGTTTTACCATGTTGGCCAGGATGGTCTTGATCTCCTGACCTCATGATCCACCCGCCTCGGCCTCCCAAAGTGCTGGGATTACAAATACTGCTTTCTTGTTTTTGTTTTTTTTTTTTTTTTTTTTTTGAGACGGAGTCTCGCTGTGTCACCCAGGCTGGAGTGCAGTGGCGCGATCTCGGCTCACTGCAAGCTCCGCCTCCCGGGTTTACGCCATTCTCCCGCCTCAGCCTCCGAGTAGCTGGGACTACAGGCGCCCGCCACCACGTCCGGCTAATTTTTTGTATTTTTAGTAGAGACGGGGTTTCACCATATTAGCCAGGATGGTCTCGATCTCCTGACCTCGTGATCCACCCGCCTCGGCCTCCCAAAGTGCTGGGATTACAGGCTTGAGCCACCGCGCCCGGCCTCAAATACTGCTTTCTTATTGAGAGAGACAACAGCTTGGGTGGAGGAAGAGGGAGGGCAGATGGATTTCAGATTTTCCAGAGATAAAATAATAATGGAAACTGACATTCATTGAGCTTTGCAACACATCAGGCAATGTGTGAAGGGCTTTGCCTCTGATGGTCTTCACAGAAAAGCGATGAAGTCATACTGCTGACTCATTTCACAGATGAGGAAGCTGAGGCACGGATAGCTGGGAACTCGCTCAGGGTCACATAGCCAGGAGGTGACAGAGCTGGGATTCAAACCCCAGACCTTCCGACTCCAGGGCTCACATTCACCTGAAAAGTCAGAGGAAACAGACCCTGCAAAGCCCCATGCAGGGCCGGGGAGACCGGAGCCCGAGGTCATTGCTGTGAGACGGGAGAGGGCCTTTCTGTCAGGGTGACAGGTGGGATCTGAAGCTGGAAAGCCGGAGAGAGGCTCGGTGGGGGCCAGTCCTTGCATGCTCCAAGAGATTCTGATCTGCTGCTGGGCAGCAGGGAAGGGCCAGGAAAAGAGCAGGTGCTGGGGCCGGGGAGGTCGTGAGGCTGAATCCAGGCTTACCACTCACACCTGGGCCACCCCGGACACGTTGCTCATCTTCTCTGTACTCCAGTGTAACAGTCAGGGATACTGCCTTTGCACGCGGTCAAGTCCGTGACTCCAAACAAAAAGCGGACATTTGTTGGCTCCCATCTTTAACATATCTGTGGGGAATGGCTTCAGGTGCAGCTTGATGCAGGATTCCAATGGCATCACCAGATCTTTCTCTGCACTCTTTCCACTGTCTGCCCCACCCTCAAGCTCCAGGGTTTCTCCTCATCCTGGCAGCAGATAGAAGCCCCTTCTTTCTACACCACCCAGCCCAGCAGCGGTGACCAAGCTGCATCCCAACCTTTTCAGTATCCAGCTCCTGGGGGCTGGAGGGCACAGATCAGAGCCGAGCTGGGGCCGACCCCGAAACCCAGAAGAACCTTTGCCCAAAGGAGAATCTCCATACTGCGGACAGAAGAAGGGGAGTGAGTGCTGGGGGCCTGAAGGGAATCTCCCAGATGCCCACACACTGAATTCCAGACACAATTTGAAGAGGGACCGGGAAGACTTGAAATCATTCACCAAGAGCATCCACCGCCCAGCATGCAGTAGGCACACAATAAATGCTCTTTTCCTTCTGCTTGGCAACCAACAGGGGGAGGAGGGCAGAGGAGAGGGGCTCCACAGGTCAGTGCTATGTGTGGCTGGAACTGACGCACCCTCACTGGGGTGGGGTGCAGGTGTTGGGGAGCAGGTCAGGAGGGAAGTGGTGGGTCCAGCTTCATGGGGACAGTGGACAGGCACCTAGAAGGGGTGGCCGGCAGGTGTTCACCATGCAGGTCTGCAGCTCATTGGCTGGGATGCATTTTGAGGGTCTCAGGAACAGAGAGGCAGTTCAGACACAAGGGTGGATGGCTTTGCCTGGGAGAGGTGTCAGAAACCTCCAGGAAGGCGGAGCATTGAGGGCGCGCTTCACTGCCCCTTCCTTGACCGCACTGCTCCCAGACATCGTGGACATCAAGCCGGCCAACATGGAGGACCTCACGGAGGTGATCACAGCATCTGAATTCCACCCGCACCACTGCAACCTCTTCGTCTACAGCAGCAGCAAGGGCTCCCTGCGGCTCTGCGACATGCGGGCAGCTGCCCTGTGTGACAAGCATTCCAAGCGTAAGTGCCGGTACCTGGGGTAGGGGGCTGTGCAGCGGGCAGGTGGGCGGGTGGGGATGTCCTGTCCTGGTGCAGCTGCTGCAGGGGTGGTGGTGGGTATGGGATGAGCATATCCTGCACTGGCCAAGGTGGGTGAGCCCATTGCTTCTTTAGTGCTGGCTGGTCGGGGAGCCTGGTCTTGCCACCTGCTGCCCCCCAGAGTCCCTGCACAGCCAGGAACATCCCAGCTTCTAGGGTTCAGGGCTCTAGGACCAGGGTCAGGGCATCCAGAAGGTAAGGAGGCACCAAACTTAAATATCGCCTCCTCTCGGAAACCTTCCCAGACCCCTACTTTAGATCAGGATCCTGCTCTGTGGCCCTGCAGCCCCCAAAGCTTCCCTTTCTTCCGGAACTAGCCACACCCGACGAACTTGCTGTGGGCTGCCCATCTTCTCCGGCTCCTTGGAGCAGGGTCTGTAACACCTGCCCTCATCCTAGAGCCCACCACAGGGCCTGCTGGGGGGTCCCACAGGGGTATCCGTGGAGGTCTGGGGCTGAACGAGTTCCAGGGGACATTTTGTGACACAGCAACCCCCAGCATAACAGCTCACACCGAACACTCACTCTGAGCCCAGCCCCCACCGAGGGCTTCACCTGTGAGCTCATCGAATCTTCATACAAGCCCCAGGAGGTGCTGTTCAAAAGAAGAAACAGAAGCTCCAGTTATTGGCCCAAGGTCACCCACATTCAGTAGTGGCAGGGCTGGGCTGCCTGGCACTGGGTTGTGGCCACGGGCTCACACTGCCACAGCCGTCCCAGAGGTCCTTGATGGTGCGGGATCAGGCCATGGCATCCTTCTTCCCAGACAGCCCTGCAGGGCTAGCAAGGGGCTAGGCAGGAGGGGGGTGTCCCCCAGGCAGAGGGCAGGGACTTTGGTTATCTGGTTCCCCTCACTGTCTGTCCCCAGCGCCTACCATAGTGTCTGGAAATAAACTCTTGTTGAATAAACCCGGAGGAGCCTGACTAAAGCCTGGGTGCCAGTGGCAGAGGGCTGGTTGGGAGTGACAGGGCCACACTGTTCCCTTGGGGAGTCTGGTTTTGCTGGGCAGTCAGAGACAGGGTGCACACCAGCCCCAGGACTCAGGCTCAGGGCCCCCCAAAACCTCCAACTTCTGCCTCCTTCTTTGGCCAAGTTCTGGCCCCCACGTCCACCCCTTCATCTCCTCTGGGTTTGTCCACGCTCCGTGTGTCACACTCAGCCATCCAGGCATTCAGTAGGCGCCTATTCCCAGCATGGGCGTGCAGCAGAGGCCAACCTTCGGGAGCTGGCATCTGCCGGGGAGACAGGCAGTGAACACATACCTGATGCATGTCAGGGCGTGGTGAGCAATGGCACCAACACCCACAAAGTCAAGTACAGGGACAGCGGGGTCAGGGAGGGCCTCCCTGAAGAGATCACAGTGGAACAGACACCCTGAGGGGGTGGGCCATGCTGATCTCTGGGGAAGAATGTTCTAGAAGGAGGGAACTGCAGTGGCCATGACTCCAGACATTGCCTGTAGGTCAAGGGAGGGACTGGGTTTTGTTCTGGGTGAGCTGAGGAGAAGCTGTGGGTTGTCATGAGATGGGGACTTGAGGATGAGGAGGAGACGCTGCAGAGGTTCCCCGGGGGAGCAGGCATCGGAGTCCCCTGCAGGGTCTGCAGAAAGAAATGGTGACCCCAGGGGTGGGGGTGGGGGTTAGGAGGTGGGGCAGGGCTCACCTGGCTGCCCCTCAGGATGTTGCTTGGAGGTCGAGTTTTGCCTTGTGGGGCGTGACTCTGCAGTTTGGTTTGAGCTGTGGGTGAAGGTGGGGCTGTGGCCTGAAACAACAGGCGGTGCCGGGGACCAGCAGGCAGGTTTCAGACCTACAAGCCTGAGGCCCGTATTGGGCTCCAAGGAAAGGGGTGGAGTAGGCAGCCAGATGTCCAGGCAGCAGTGCCGCTTGGAGGCAAGTGTGGAGTTAGTGGCCCGTGGACGGATGGGAGGCCAGAGACCAGCTGAGATTCCCCTGGTACAGGGGGCCCGGGGCTGTGTCCTGTGCGTCACAACAAAGGACCACACACTTGGTGGCTTGAAACAGGGCAGTCTCAGGCCACAGTCCCATACCCGGCTCACTGGCCGGAATGAAGGTGCTGTGGGCTGGTGCCTTCCGGAGGCTCTTTGGGAACGCTGGTTTCCCTGTCTCTTGTAGAGGTGCTTCTAGAGGCGCTGCGTTCCCTGGCACGTGGCCCCTCTCCCCCACTCTCCAAGCCCACAGCAGCCAAGCCTCTCCCATGACTCTGACCCTCCTGTCTGTCTTTCACGTATAAAGACCCCTGTGATCACCTTGCCCTCCCTGCCCCCACTCCGATGATCCAGGATGACTTCCCCGTCTCAAGGACGGCTGAGTTGTAGCCTTGATTTCATCTTTGGCCTTAATTTGACTTTGCCATGTAGCACAGCATAGTCACAGGTGCTAGGGATCAGGACGCAGCCATCGCTGGGGGCCGTTCCATTGCCCACTGCAGGGCACTGCCCCCACCACCTACACCACCTACGCCTCCCGCCCATTGACTCAGGCCGCATGGGCCTCCAGCTGTGCTTGTGTGCAGCCGGCTCTGGGTCAGAATGGGATGGGAGAATATTGGGGAAGAGAGGAGACTCTTCCTGCTCCTGGTCCGTCCCCGACCCTGTGTGAGCCCTGTGGGAAGGAGGACGGGGCTTCATGTCACCCCGTTGTTTATACGGGTGGAAATCCAGAAACATCCTCAACATCCTAATCTTAAATGCTAAGATTATTCAACTCTTCTAAAATGAGCTAGGCAGCTTTTTCTTTCTTTTTCTGGAACCATTGGTGTAATATATCTGCTCCTGGAAGTATTAGGAAAACTTGTGTGTGAATCTATTCGGCGTCCTTTTGAGGGAGAGGAGGAAAATGTTAAGCCACCAGTTTAAAATGCCGAGAAAATGATGTCGACAATGGTGACATCCATGTAACAGGATATTGTTTGGTCATGTCAACTATTGTTGTAGAAGATTTTTTAATGCCACGGGGAAACGATTATGATGAAGGATTTAGGGGATAACAAAATAAGGCTAGACCACCAAAAAAAATGGAAACAGAGAAAACTCTGGAAAGAAATACACGGAGTTGTCCCTGAGTGGTGAGCTGTAAGAAACTGATGGGATATTTTCTTTTGGTGTATTTTTATTTTAATGATGGATTTGAACTTTGAATCAGAAAACACATGTGTGTGCAGGAAGGGTGGAATTTAGGGAGAACAGAGACAGGCATAGGACAGTTTTGTGCACCCCTTGATGTTTGTGTGACATGTTTTAGTGGGCCAGAGGGCGCAGTCAGACCCCCTTTGGCTCCCGAAGCCTGTGCTATCTGGTTCCCCAGGGCAGAAGCAGCGGTCACATATACCTTGCACATTTTGTGAGTCCAAGCACAGACGCATCCATTTCAGTCACATGATTTCATATGCCTGGTAATGTATGAGCCTCGTGTGAATCAGCCAACAAACTCAAGAGTACAAGAAATATGAGTATTTTCGATGACTCAATTCAATTTCCTTCTTCACCCCCAGCTCCCAGGGCTGCAGTGAATATTGACTTTGGGGCCTCGGCAGATTCTGCTCCTCTCCGGATTGCACTGAGGTTCTAGAAGGCTCTGGCAGGCCGAGGTGCAGAGAGAGGGACATGGTGTCTTCCAGGCCACTGAGGACTTTTGACTGTGCCTGGGCGACCTTGGGGCCAGGTCCTTGCTGAGAAATCCCCAAGGGCCTGTTGGCTGTGCCCAGTGACTCACCTGGGAGGTTGGCATCATGCTGACCTCTGGGGGCTTTTGCCCCCACCAGTGATCCCAAGTCTGTAGACAGGGTGGGGCTGCCTGTGATTTACTAAGGTTTTATGTACACTTTTTGCACACACAGTCATAGGCGAAGTTGGTTTTTAATTTTCTTTTCCTATACTCTCTTTGCCCAATTTTAAGATTCTTCAACTCTCCTAAAATGAACTGGGCAGCTTTTTCTTTCTTTTTCTGGAACAGTTGATGTAATATATCTGCTTCTCGAAATCTTAGGAAAACTTGTGTGCAAATCTATTTGGTGTCCTTTTGAGGAAGAGAAGAATTTTTTCTTTTTTTTTTTTTAGACAGAATTTGGCTCCATCGCCCTGACACGATCTTGGCTCACTGCAGCCTCCACCTCCTGGGTTCAAGGGATTATCTCACCTCAGCCTCTGGAGTAGCTGGGATTACAGGTGTGTACCACCATGCCTGGCTAATTTTTTTTTTTTTTTTTTGTATTTTTAGTAAAGACAGGGTTTTGCTATGTTGGCCAGGCTGGTCTCAAACTCCTGGCCTCCAGTGCTGGGATTACAGGCATGAGCCACCATACCCAGTCAAGAGAAGAAGAATTTTAAAAAACCAGCTTAATTTCTTTTTTGATTATTGATTTATGCAAATTTTATTTAAAAATTTTCTGGAATATTTTTCATTCTCAAACTCAAAATCTTGTACGGACACTTTCTCTTTCATGCCAGCAAAAAGATTGTGCAGCAATTTTTAGCATGCTTTTACAGCTTCCATTTCTCCTCGTTTAATTTGCCACATATTGGGGTGAGTGGCTGAAGTGTCTGTCCTTCTGTGTGCCTTGTCCAGGCTGTGTTTTGCTCTGAGGCTCTCATGGGAAATCAAGCACACAGCTGATTTCCAATTAGCAGGTGGTGGCTGTTTTTAATCTGAACACAAATGGCTGTTATTTGAGCTAATTTTTAAAAAGAGATTTGGGGATTAGGATTAGTTCTTCACCTCCCACTTCCATCCACGTATCCAGTTACTGCTCAAAACTCAGGGAGCGGCTGATAGTGACACCCCGGAGATGTGCTCACGGCATCATTTTCCTAACAGAATCAAACTGCGAATGAAGAGCGTCCTGGATGCAGGAAGACGCTCCTTTCTGAGGGTCTGAGAAGCTCTGTAACTCCCCTGGACCCCTC